CTGAATGGCACACATTCTTCAGAACTTGTGGTGTCCTCATTACTGCTATTCCACCAAGTACCTGCCCTACTCATAAATGCTCTCGGATCCCACATTCACCAGTTGATTAAGTTTCTCTATTTTATTGCCATATATCTGTCAGTATATCAAGACATTTAAGACAGAAACAGAGCTTTCCTGATTTTCACAAAACTCCTTTTCTTGTGCAAACTCCATCCTCTGCTCCACTACATAATTACCATTCCTAGAAAGCCATGACACAGGGAATAGGACAGTCAGCTGAAAGGGGTCATCTTCTGCTAATGAAACCGCTACAGAGAGAACAAATTTCACAGCCACTTCTAGCTAGAAGTTATGATATCTAATGGTTGTCCAGCTATTCACTACTTCCAATATTTTTTAAATGTACCAGATAACCATCTATATAAATCAGTCCACTTCCTAATTCAGTAAAAATTCTGCAGCTATTTCTGTAAAGTCATATTCTACATTACGGTGTCTCCAATTTTATCGCAGACTAACTTCAGCATTAAATAAGCAAACCTGGGTTTTGTTACCATAAAAATGTTTACATTTATTATTATTAGAATAAATTAAATTTAAAATAAAACAAATGCACAGAGTTTTCCCTGGGGAAAAAAAGGGCAGAAAACCCTACAGGTATTTATGCAGGTCACATTCCTTAATAAGCTTGTGCAAGTCATTTGAATACTGTGGAGATGGAGACTGTAGAAAAACCTGATTAGAATAAAATATTATTAATTAAGCCTCATAATATCCTGAAAGATAGGCAAGTGATATGACTTTATAGAGATGACACAAATTGACTTGTTCAATGTCACACTGCCTCAGGGAAATGATAATTTCCAATCAACCAACCTACAGCTTTCAGGTGGGCTTCATTTGGGGAATACACAAAAGTTCCATCTTCTTCTGAAAAAGGGAGGAAAATATCTTTCATCTCTTATTAGTCATAGTGCTGAAATATCTTTAGTGCCCTCTGGTGTGCCTTTCAGCAACAATATATGCATAAAATGAAAATTAATTGACACTGATCTGAATACAACCTTCGGTTCATCTTTCTGACTACTTCTAAACAAGCCTTCAATTTCCCAGGACAAACAGGAGATACAATTAACATCTCCATGGCATTTATTGACCCAAAGTATCAGTTTAAAAGGTAGGTTTTAGCAAGTATCCTAAATATAAACATTAACAGAAAATATAGAATTTCACTCTCTGTTGATTCAATTGACACTGTGAATTCAGTTCTCCACACCTCTAGCAGTCTCACATTTGACTCCAATAACACTACCAGAGCCTTTCCTGTTTGACTTAATACTACTATATTTTTAACTAAAAAAAAACCAAAAAAAATCCAAACCAACCAACCAACCAAAAAAAACCCCCTCCCTAAACCATTTTCACTTTTTCCACTTTCTCATTCATTTCATCTCTTCCTGCTTTAATACAGAGGAGTTTTACAGAAATAAGTCGTACGACCAGTGTAAACCTCACTGTTTCTCCCATTGCTGACAACTTAAGTCATTGCTTCTTTGCCCACTAAAGGTCTCCACCAGGAATCCTAGGATACAGTTTCATGTTACCCTGTATCTGATACAACTCCGGATCCCATATGCTCAATCTAGCAAGCCTTTGGCCTTAGGAAAATCAGAAGAGTACCCCAAACCAGGAGAAAGCTATTGATTTTTATGTCTGGGTGACACTTATGCCATACCAGTGACTGTCAGAGCTGGCAACTGCATGATTGTGAGATTTCATGCAAAGGACATCACACGAGGGACACCTCGGGGAGAAGTGGGAACTTCTGTCAGCAGCCCCATGTGACACTGAATCAGCTGCAACAGCAACCGTGACCTATTCAAATCTCCAGTCCAGTTTTGGGCTCCCCAGCACAAGATGGACATCAGCATAGTGAATGAGTCCAGCAGAGAGCTACCCAGATGATTCGGAGGACAGAGCACATGATGCACTGGGAGAGACTGAGAGAACTGGGTTTGTTCAGCCTTCAGAAAGCTCTGGCAGCATCTTACTACTGTCTAAATTGATGTAATGGGAAGGTGTAGATAACAGAGACAAATTCTTTCAAGTGGATGGAACAAGATTCAATGGATACAACTTGAAACAGGCAAAATTTCAATTTAATATAAGGAATTTCTCACTTTTTTTTTAAACAGTAAGGGTGGTCAAGCTCAGAACATGTTGTCTGCAAAGGCAGTAAAATCTATGTATTTGGAAGTATTCAAAATTCAGCTGCATGCAGCCCTGAGCAACATGCTCTTGTTTAAGCTGCTTTGTGCACTGGGCTGGACTAGATGATCTCCAGAAGTCCCTTCTAATATACCTCAGTCTATGAGTTTATTAAGTGCATCAACTCTTTTCATATAATCACATCAAAATGATTCCTATTGTATTTTTCCTTCTGAAAAAAGGACTAGAATTTGAATATCAAAACACAGTGTGCTTTAATTCGCACTTTTTATTTTTTTAAATAAGAATATAACCACACTCAGGGAAAACATTCCATTTTCATCACTCACAAGAAGTGACTAAAGGAACAGCTTTGAGACACCCTTGCTCAGCTGAGACATTTCAAATGGCACATGTTCATCCACAAACCACTGCCTTTACTAGCTGATGGAAAATATCTTGCCTCCTGGAGTGATCAGGACTGCTGGATCCGACCCTTACTGAATTCTGAACAGAACAGAGCATGGGCAAACCCACCCATTCAGGTAGGTACTGCCAGCTACCACTGGCCAGATGTAAAAGACTGTGGTTCCCAAACTAAGAGGATCAACCTGAGACACCTAAAGAATTGCAGCAAGCTGACAGAACTCTAAAGCACAATATTGACCCTGCACACCCCACACCCCACACCCCCCCGTTGTCTCTCAGGAACTGAGTTTTACAGTTCAGAGAGGAGCAGGCCAGATATCCATGCATGCCAGTCACAAGAAGCCAAAACTCAGCTGAGAGGCAGCATGAGTTATGAGCCAAGAACAACCAAATTCAGTAATTTAGGACTTGATTCAGAAATCACATTTTCCCATTGCCCTCCTCACATACAGTGATAATTTAGCTGAAAATAAAAGAACAATCAGCCGTTTCCAGCAACAGTGAGAAAGATGAATAAGGCAGCCATCAAAATTCCTTCAGGTATAGGAAAAAAGTAACATTCTGGAAAGATTTTCTGGAGTGTAAACTTCATTTTTTTTATTTACTTATACTGTTAACTCTGCATGCTTTAATCCTTCTCTGTTTCACAGGCTGTTTAATGAGGAATTAGCACAAAAGTACAAACCTACTTCTGACAGAACAAAAGCTGGAAGTCAGATTCTTCTTCATATTGAGACTATTCAGGCAGACCAAACTGCATCCCCTTCATGCGATCCATGCCATTTTGGTAAGTTTCCAGGAGGCAACACTGACTTCAGCGTACAAAACATTTTTCTGTTATCACTACAGATAACATCTGAACTTAAAATAGAGCTAATTGTTGCATTTAAAGCCATGGTACCTGACCCCATCCAAAACTACCTCAAGTTAAAAAAACCAACATACTATGAAACAAGGGAAACTACACAAAGAAATTTGATTTGGAGTTAAAGTAATAAACACAGTGGTATTATCTTAGGCTATTTACATCAAGAAATTGGATTCTGACTCACATGCTGCTCATCACATGGCTAAAGCAGAAATTACCACTCAAGCCTCCAATCCATTTTGCCCATGGCAAAGAAGTACTGTGAATAACACATCCTTACAGTTTCCACAACAGGACATAAGGAATGCTAAAAATCTTTGACTGAAAACTCTGGAAACTCTTTCACCAGCCGTTCATGCGAGGAGGACTGAAATCTGCCAGAACTAGCAAACAGATCAGTGGGGGTGGTAACCACTTCAGCCATCCTGCTTAAAGTCTTAATTCAAACTGAAATCTGTAGTTCTGGACACCTTCAGCTGCCCAGTTTTAACTCCACCTGGCACGAGTGAGCACTGTGAGCCTGGCTGTGTGACACAGCCACACGACACAACAAGCAGGGCCCAGCCTTCCCTGCCACCCTGGTAGCACCTAGCACCGCAGGGCCCTCCGCTGACCTGCGTGTCAGGGGCCCTTCCTTCGCTTAAGTCACGAGCCTCAGACACGGTGAAGGCAAGAACTTTAAACACTTCCTTTTTTTTTCTTCTTTTTTTAAAAGTTATTAGGATGTTTTGAATGTGACCAAAACGAACCAAACCTCAGCAAAAGAGAAGGAAGGCAAGGAGCAGTTTTTGACAAGCTACAGCCCAGCCGAGGCAGCAGCCCCGGGCAGAGCCGAGCCAGCACGCCAGGGGAGCCAGGACACTCCCAGCCTCGGGAGCGGCGGCGGGGCGGACGCTACTTACAGCCCTGGTCTCATACAGCACCAGCTTCTGCACGGAGCTGATCAGGGGGGCGGCCGCCGCCGGCATGGCGGCCCCGAGGCAGGGCCGGGGCGGGAGCGGCGGGGGCTGCCCGGGGACAGCCCAGGAACAGGCGGTGAGGCCCCGCCAGAGCAGGGCGGGGACACACCTCCGGTAACGGGGGAACCCGGAAGTGCCCGCGCGCCACCGCGCCGGCGCACCCACGGGAGGGAGAGGGAGCGCGCCTGCGCCGCCGCCGCCACTGCCGGAGGGGCCGGCGGAGCAGCGTCACGCGCCGCTCCTCGGCAGCGGCGGCTCCCGGCAGCGGCACCGGGGCGGGCGAGGCGGCCGCAGCCGTAGCCGCAGCCGCTGCTCCCACCGGGACGCGCTCCCTGCGAGGGGAGCATGGTCAGCACCAGGAACAGCTCCGCAGCCCCGTGGGGGCCTCCGCCTCACCCGCCTCTGAGGGGCGGGGCCAACGTTAGAGGGCGGGGCCTCTGCCTCACCCTCCCTGACAGGGCGGGGCTCCAGCTCTCTGGGGGCGGGGCCAGGTGCAGGGGGCGGGGCTCGGCAGTTGCCCGGGTACCGGGGCGCGCGCGGAGGTAGCGGCGCCCTCGCTCAGGCCTTGAGCCCGTGCGACGTAAGTGCCCCTCCGGTCCGACCCGGGGGAGGCGCCCACCGGGACATGGTCCTGGGAGCGGGGAGGGCGCGCGTCTGTCTGGTTTAATTCTTGGCTTTGGTTGTGGTGTTTTTGTGAATTTGGAAATTGACCCTTAGTTGTGAAGGTTTGGAAAGGGGCGAAACAGCGGGGAACGGCACGTAAAGCTCAACCGGTGCGTTTCCCGTGAGAGAAATCGGGTGTTGGTTCGCACGTGGAGGCCTTTTTTTTTTTTATATTAAAATACTTATTGCGAAGGTGTCTGAATGTTTCAGTTTGACGTTTCAAGACTCTTTTCAGATTTTTTTTTTTTCAGATTTTTCAGGTTCTCAGTAGAATTTTCAAATTCAGTTATTTAATTTAAAAATGACTGGGGGTTTTATGGGGTTGTACTGGGTTGTATGGAGGTTGTACTGGGGCCATATGGGTGAGACTGAAGTGGCCCTCTAAAGAAAGCTGGAGGGTTTTTTTGCCTTCTTCAAACAAGCTTAAACACGCTCCTCACATTTTTGGCCTCCATTTGTGTGAAAGGCCCACCCAAATTTTCTTCCAACTTACCTTAATTAGAAGTTTGTTTGGGTTTTAATTCGTTGTGTAGTACTGGATGTGCGGCTTCTGGCAGTCCTGGAAAAACTGGGATTTGTGAGTGGACAGATTATGAACCGTGATTTGATTCTGCAAAGCCTTTTTCATGTACCTACGTGTGGTTCCACTGACCATGACGGGGGCCTTCTGTGTCTGAAGCTCAAAAGCGAAGGTCTTAGCACGCCCACGGTACATTTCAGGGACCAGAGAGACTGTGTGGTAATTGGAGCAGGAAGGACAAGGCAGTGAAACAACTAAAAAAGAGCAACAGGCAGTTTGAGAGTCAGGAAAAAGTTGTTATCAACTGCCATAAAGTTCCAGCTGGGGGTCAGGGGCAGTTCTGACAGTCTCTTATTTTTCACAAGTGGCTTTTCTCTTAGTAATGGGTATGTTCTCAATTGTGTACGTTCTCTAAATGCTTTTTCTTCTTATAACAGTTTGGTGGTTTTTTTACAAAGCCATTTACCTTGTAATTCAGTTCCACTTGAAAGTCATTTTACACATATGTAACTACTGTATTTTTCTCCCAGTCTTAGATAATACATGGCTTCGCAGGAGGAAAAACAAGCTCAGCCCTTTACAGACATCTTTGATGAAGATGAGGCTGAAAAATCCTTTCTGTTGTCCAAGCCCGCTTGCTTAATTATCTTTGGAAAGCCAGTAAGATGTCAGATAGAAATTTTTTTTTCAGATATTTTGCTAACAATTTTACTTTTCCTTTCAAAACATTAGTTTAGCGATGCTGCCAAAAGGATCAAACACCTACTTTTTCACCTTTTCCACTCTTCAAATCCTTCAGAGTGTGGTAAAGATTCTGATCTCATTTAACGAGGCCAATTTTTGGCCTGAGCGATCAGTCAGGTACAATTAAAAGTGTTAAAAGTTACATGTTGCTCAAAAAATTTCTTTTCACATTGACAACTGGATGGTTTTTATTTTTGTGGTGGTTTAGCCCCAGCCAGCAACCAAATCCCACGCAGCCACTCACTAGCCCCAGTGGGATGGGACAGAGAATCAGAAGGGTAAAAGTGAGAAAACTCATGGGTTGAGATAGAGACGGTTTAACAGATAAAGCAAAAGCCACACATGTGAGCAAAGCCAAAGAAGGAATTAATTCACTACTTCCCATGGGCAGGCACCCCCAGGAGAGCCCCATCATGTGAAACAGTTACTTAGGAAGACAAACGCCATCACTCTGAATGTCCCCCCTTCCTTCTTCTTCCCAGCTTTATAAGCTGAGCGTGATGCTGTGTAGTATCCCTTTGGTCAGTTGGGGTCAGCTGTCCCAGCTGTGTCTACTCCCAACTCCTTGTGCACCTCCAGTCTCTTCACCAGCGTGGCATTATGAGAAGCAGAAAATGCCTTGTCTCTGTGTAAGCACTGCTCAGCAGCAGCAAAAACATCTCTAAATTAACAACACTTTTTTTCAGCACAAATCCAAAACATGGCCCCATACTTGCTACTATGAAAAAAAAGTAACTCTACCCCAGCCAAAACCAGAACAATGTTATCAAGTATTCTAACTTTTAAAAAACTTGATGGATTAAAGACATAAATAGCCATAAAAGAACCTTAAGGTTAATGTACTGACTTACAGACGTGCAGTGAGATATTACATATCTTAACCTTAATATTAAAATTCTGACATAGTTATATATCATTTTGGGAACATCTGAAATCCAACAAGGTGTCCCAATAAGATTTGTACCTCATTTCAACTATAATTCAAGATCTCTCTTTTTCTCAAATAATTTGTGGCCTCCCATACTTAGGAAAATGCAATGTTTTATAATCCTAAACTTCTCAGATTCTTCTCTTTTACCAAAGGTAGGAGACTTTGTGTGGGGGTGCATTACTCCCTTAGTTTGCTGAAGGGAGTTCGTTTTTTGGTACAAGTTTGCTGTATAACATGTCGTATGGCTATATGCACTTAAAAGAGTGCACTCAGCTCAGTAGAAAACTACACTGGATTAGCTTGTCTAATTTTATACAAACATCAAATTTCTAACCTCACATGAAAAAGGTAACTTTACATTTTTTAGACTAAACCAGCATAAAATGCTCATTGAAAAACAATACAAAAATATTCTCATATTCTCAATCATTGCTTTCAGTAGATGCTTTACATTAATACAAATTTAACAAAGGGTTAAAACTGTACAGTCATTACCAGGAAAACAGAGAATTAAATAGTCTATTTTTATGATAATATTTTTTATTTATATGGATGATGTGTAGAGCACCTATCTTATTTAAGATAGATCTTTTAAGTTAAAAACATAGTGCCATTAAACCAAAAACAAATATATATACTTACATCATATCTGTAAGATTTAAGGTGTGAGAAGCTGGAGTGTTTGCTGATACACTGTTAACTGGGAATTGTGATTTATTTGTGGATTTTTACTATTTTTTAATCACAAAATTTATCTGGGGCAAGCAAACTGTCAAAAGAGGTCTTCGTATATGCCCCTGGAAAAAAGGGGCACAATCCTAAGGGTGGAAGATGGTGAGTTACAAAAAATCCCATTCAGATAGTTGTACTCTTAGATGCCTCATTTTTCTTGATTGTGTCAGTTCCTCGAGACTCATATAAATGATAAAATAAACATTTTGTCAGTATAAAACCAAATTTGTGGACTAACAAGGGCAGTTTTTAAGCATTTGTTGTTTTAGTCAAAGAATATTATCCCTGTGTATCCTACTCAGAAAGGCTTGAGCAGGTTTGCATCATAATAGGCTTTGAGACTGAAGATAATAAATTTCAGTCCTAAAGGGTTTCTCATAGGAATATGTGGGCAAACCATAGCTGAGTTTTAGATAGAGTTACTCAGAAACAAAGTCTTTGATGATAATTAACTGCAAAGGGCAGTAGCAGTATACTAGCAATGCTAGGCAGTATACAATAGAGGATGGTAATAAAAGAGTGTTCTGTGTTTGCCCAGTGCATAACTCAGAGGCCCTAATCCCAATGGTAGCTTGTAGTTGTTTTTATCATATGAAAATATATTCTTTATTGTGTGATATGTTTGCGGGGATTTTTTGGTTTTGTTCAGCCTGTTTTTCTTTTAAAAGTGTATTTTTTGTTTTAAGGGTTCTGGAAAGAAAACATTAGCTAGAAAACTAGCACAGAGATGGAATTCCATTTTCATAGAAGGTAAACATACACTGTATTTGGAACATTGCAATTGTTTCACAATATCTTTTGGTTTAGAATGTCCTCGCTTTTCCCTGTAACTCAATAAGGCATGTTTCTGATTCCAGCAAAGGCTTCTGATAAGGACCAAGTAACCATTTTGCCAGAAATACAATTGCTGATAATGGCTTTTTAGTTATTGAAAGTCTTAGAAAATCACTGTGGGTTTTTTTTTTCATCATAATCAAATTCTATTCCCAGTCCTGTAAGGTGATTCATGTGACCCTTCTTGTTCACATGGAGGCAACTCATTCAACTCCAGGGAGCAGAGACATTTTCCAATACAGACCATGAAAAAATAGAAGTATCTTTCTTTTCTTTTGTGTGGCATTCAGTGCAAGGTGGTTGTCCTCCAGGAAACAGAAGCATAGCTTTTGTATCACTACAAGTAGTAAAGGAAGTAATGGGAACTGGCATTTTCAAATTTCTAAACCAAAAATATCCCATGGCTTATTTCAGAAGGTGTAGTTAATTTCTCCCACCATGCATTTACCAGAATAAAAGCTGCCATTTAATTTTTTAAGCTACTGAGCTATGTTTCTGACAGTCCCTCTCATCAAAGATTTTTGAAGATTTGTAGAGTAAAACCTGTTATGTATAACATTATCTTATTCCCTATAAACACATTGCTTGGGATTTCCTTTTCATTTTGAGGCATCTCAGAAAGAAAGTTCCTACAGAAAAGAATTAAGTCTCTGGAAGTTGTTCGGGGTTTTTTTGGTCCTAATTTTGTCAGCAGTAAGTAAAGAAACGCTAAAAAGGATGTAATTTTTTTAAAGCCCTGGTAATATTTTTATATCTATGACATAATTCACAAATCTTGATTCTTTCACTGTAGTTTTATGAAAGAAAGAAAACTTTTACACCACATATGTCCTACCAGTTTGAAGAGTAATACAATATTTTTAAGTAAAAGAAGCACAATATAACCTTAACTATGAAGCAATTTCTTGAGTACCTCTTTGGGAACACCAAATTATAAATCAGATGTTATGGTATATATGTGTAAATTGTTCTGATTATGAACTTATTCTTTACATATAATTTATGCTTAAGTTTTGTCATTTAAATTTGCCCCCTGGTATTTTTTTATTGTTCTAATGAAAGCCCTCTAGTGGACAGGGTAACACTTCATATTCCTGTGAGTATGTAGTTATTTATCAAATGAAGCATCTTTATCTTCTTTTGAAGGTTTGGAACTCTAACATGGTACAATTCAGTTTTAATAAAGTGCTTTTTGGACTTATGTAACTATAGAATTTTAAATTCATATTATTGTATAACAAAAAATTAATACCTGTTCCAAAACATAGATCAGACCAAAATCAGAAGGCACCTCAGGAATGTACTTAAGCCAATCCACTCTGTTTGAAAGTATTTAAACCATTACTGACAAATGTCCATCAGATTTGTTTTTAGAATCTCTAGGCAGTCTATCTCTGTAACACAGCCTTTGCCATTAGAAAGTTTTTCTTATGACTGATCTAAATCTCACTTTCTGCATTTTTAAGCCTTATTTCTAGTAGATTCAGAGAATTATTCTTTTCTAATTTTGCTCATGATATTTCTTTTAATCTTTTGGTTAGTGTACCCACACAATATGTGTACACACATATTCCTTCAACTTTTGCTAGTAAGTTTTTTTTCACTTTCTACATCAAAAAAGAAAGAAGTGAAGAAATTCAACATATATAAACATGAATAATTGAGTTCAGAAAGGACCTCCAGAAATGACTGAGTCTCAAACTTCCTCTCAAAGCAGAGTCAACTAGAGAGGGTTGCTCAGTTGAGTCTGGAATATTTCCGAGGATGGAGACTCTGTGTCCTCTCAGAGAAACACTTTACAATATTGACTACCTTCACAATGAAGAATTGCTTCCTAATTACCCCATTCAGATTTCTCACGTTCCTACTTATGTCTGTTGCCTCCTGTCCTAATTGCACTTCTGTGAAGACAGTGGTTCTGAGTTTGTGATCTCCCAGTAAGTTTTAGACAACAGTAAGATTTGTCTGTTTTTCTTCAGGCTGAACAAGGCCAGTTCTTTTGGCCTTCCTAGTACATTCAACACTTCTAATCATATTGGTGCCCACTTCTGGACTTGCTCCAGTGTAAAAATATCCGTCCTGTGTTGTGTTAAAAATAAACCAAGATAGAGAATTATTAAATAGGAAAGGTGTTTGCAGTCTTTTTAATTATAATACTTTCTGTCTATTTATCCAATGAATAGGTCAATACTCATAAATAAAACAGGGCCAGGATGCACACAGATTGCTGATTTTCAGTTGTCTGTATCATTTATTAGAACATTCCCTGTCTCAGCTTTGACCCGCGGCAAATGCTGTTCTCCCAAGCACCCATTCATTGTATGAAGGATGGTATGTGCAACAGTCATCATTAATAGTAGGAACAGTTGGAAAACAGCCACTGTGTTTGAGAAGAAAGATTATGGCCATATAGGCATGAGCCACCTGGTTTCAGGACATTTCCCTGACCTGGTTTATTAGTAATATAAATGTAGCCTTAAGGGTCATTCTTGAAAACTTTTGTAAAGTGTCTGCTTATTTAATTTGTACAGAAGTGTGAAAGACTTCCAGGATCGTTCTGCTATGATGCCACTGTCCACATAGACAGAGGGCAGGTCTTTGAATTTAATGAATGTCAAATTTAGTATTTATTTAATTTTAGATAATTAAACTATGTAAGAAAGAGGTTCTTAATGACTTTTTTTAAGTAGATGGTTTTGTGTGTCTAAGCAGTTCTGCTACATCTTGCTTTTAAAATTTAGGAAGGGATTGAGCTGAAGTACTTATGTATGGATTACAAAGGAATAATGCTGATTTAATATAAATCAGTAGTTAAAATAATCCTGCAAAACTGCTGTTGTGCATTTTTCTGTAGTATATACAGGGTTAAATTGTAGGGAAAAACACCTACCCAAACCTTGCCAGAAGGCTCCAAGTTCTGGGTGGGCAAAGTACAATAATGGCCCTAATTATAATGGCTGTTCATTCAAAAGTAGCCTGATTGCTTGGAACACACATACATACTCTGGTGCGTGTATGTGTATGTATTTATGTATCTGCATCTACCTGTCTGTATAGAAAATACTTTTTATTAACTATTTTAATTTTATTCTCTCTGATGTGCTCTGTCAGCTTCAGAAGTAATTCAAACAAATATTCATGAAGAAACAGAATATGGACTTAAGGTAAAAGTCTAACCTTCTAGTGAGTTTTTCACGTTCTTGACAAATCCATATTGTATAATGCTATGTTTTGCATTTTACCTTAGTGTCAAGAATTGCTTTTTAAAGGTGAAAGTATTTCTGAGGAACTGGTTACCGAAATGGTTCTGCAAAAGCTTGAGTCACCAGAAGTTGCTCATTTTGGTAAGTATGTTTGTAGCCTAAACTTCTTAGAATGTGCTAGCTGTAATTTTCATAGAATCATAGAATATGCTGAGTTGCAAGGGACCCATCAGGATCATTGAGTCCAGTTCTTGGCTCTGCACGGAACCATCCCCAAGAATCATACCATCTGTGTCAGATTATTGTCTGGATGCTTCTTGAACTCTCTCAGGCTTGGTGCTGTGACCCCTTGCCTGGGGAGCCTCTTCCAGTACTCAATCACCCTCTGCGTGAAGAACCTTTTTCTAATATCCAACCTAAACCTCCCCTGGCACAATGTCAGGCCATTCCCTCAGGTCCTGTCACTGGTCACCACAGAGAAGAGATCAGTGCCTGCCCTTCCTCTTCCCTTGAGGAAGTTGTAGACTGCAAAGAGGTCTCCCCTCAATCTCCTCCAGACTGACCAAACCAAGGGACTTCAGCCACTGCTCAGCAGGCTTACCCTCTTTCCACACCTTATATCCATTGGTGCTCAAATATGATTTATTTTGTATTCGATGGTAACACCTTTTTTTGTGCTCTTCAGGTTGTGAAATATCAATAAAATGAGCGTGTTTAGGGATTAGCTTACCAATATGGGAGATCGGAAGGTGTCATACTAGTCCTATGTTGTGTTAATTTTGAGAAAATTATTTTGCCCCAAATTTTAAGTGTTGCTATGACTCTCACTTGAGGCTGTCAAGACTAGTGCTGCAGATCTTGCTAGTCTGAACCTGCTTTCTTGAAGAAAAAACAAATACACTGCTAAGTGGAAAGAAAGTAAAAAGGAAATGTAGGTTTTTTCCTCATTCTGACTTTTATTTGAAATTTCCATTATAGGAGAGAGACAGGTGTAGAAAATTTAAGTTTATTCTGCTCTGAAAACTAGCATGCTTTTTAAGCTTTCAGTTGCAATGGTTTTTTTTTTCTTCTCTAGTCCAAGACCCAACAGTTTTGCAAAATATGCAGCCTTAACTGATGAACCCAGGCTTTTAAAACAGTATAAAAAAAGACAGAGAAATAGGGAATAAATGAAAAAAATGGTATGATGTGGACAGAAAATTTGCTGGAAGAGGTATCAGCAGAAATACCAGTCTCTTAATCCATATGTTAGGACTTTAATAAAGGCATAAGGAGGTATTTCTGTTATTGGAGTTCCCCTTTTTGAGTCTGCCTGAAGATGTGTGTATCACAGAGGACACAGAGATCCTAGAGACTGTAAAATTGATAAAAGTTTGGTTCTTGTAGCCAAGACATTTTCTGTATTACAGATACCCCAAAGTAGCAAGGAATAGAACAGCCAACATTTTCACTATTTTTCCTACCAACTAGAACTGATCTCCAAAACCAGTTTTGTTAAGTATTTTCTAGTTCTAATAACTTTTTGTTTAATCAGCTACTATCTTAGTATAATCCTTGGGAAGCTTAAGCTTTCAACAGGAGCTAATCAGTCAATTCTCTGTTAATTATTCATTAAAGATTTAAGAAACTGTTTTATGAGAGGCTGAGTTTTTTACTTTTAATGTTTGAAAAATACAAGTTTCTAAACAGTACACACAATAAGGTATTCTTTCAAGTTATAATCTTCTGTCTTAAATAATAAACATATCATGTTGGAGACTAATGTGCCAGAGGTATCCACACGTGCTAATGCAAATGATAATATTTAAAAATTGTAAGACGCTAAAACCAGATTTTTTTCCTTACTTCCAAAGTAGGTCAGATATGGATCTTGTAAGCTACTTCTTGAAACAGTGTCTCTTATTAAAATAACATAGACACTGTACAATAACAAGCAAACTTGTATTTTAGGGCATTGTAGGTAAGAAAATACAGAATTATAACCTCTATGTAATTGATACACTTGCTCTTTTCTTTCTTTTTTTTTTTCAAGACAGGAAGAAAACCAGAAGTTCATATCAGGTTAACCTAAATAATATTTGCAAAGGAAAAATCTATGTCATTATCACAGGAGGGAACTACTCTATTAGCATGCTCTAAATCAAACCAGAAGCAAAGTTGTTTATTGATTTCTTAACTGACAATCAGCAAACTGGTGATCAGTGAAAAGATTCAATATCAGCCACAAAACAGACAAGCCACAGCACTAGGCACTTGCCAAATATAATGAACACCTACAAATTTTTGAACATCCTCATAAAACTAATTCCAGGGAGTATACTCAAACTGGCATGGTTATGCACACAAACCCTCTCTCGAAGATGTGTGGAAGTTAGAAGCACACATTCCCTTATCTGAGAGTACATGTTCACCTATTTAAGCATGCTTTCTGTTGGAAATGCAGGCACATCTTTGTGTGCCATTTCCTGCAGTCTGCTAAGCCGCACACCAGTGAGAAAGCTCCCTGTGAGCTCACATACACACACTGGGGGTGTGGGTCACTGTGTGTTTAACCTTGTTCTGTCAGTCCAGTAGTTGAAATGCAGATTACTCAGAGCATCCAAGAAGGAGGCTGTTCTGCCAGGCCTAGCCAGAAGGCTGTGATGCTGGCACACCAAACCTGGTTAGGCTCCTGTTCTTTTGCCTTGCTCTAAGATCTCTTCCCCTGGCACAAATTTTAATGCTTCTCTTCAAGGTGGCTCCTTATCCCCTCAAAAGTTTCTTGGTAATCCCCTGGTTGCTATTTGATCTGGTTGATGGTTGCCATAGCTATACCTCATCATTGTTAGTCTCCCCACATTATTGGTTTGGGAGCAAACACTCTGTCAGAGAACAAACAGTTTCCCATGTTACACTCCCATTCTCATCACATCAGCTATTGTTGTCTGGGATGTGTTGGTAAGCAGACACTGTGCAGACTCTTCACACCTACCAGTTAGAATTCGCTAAAGGTATTGACAACTTAGAATCCAGGATTTTAAGTTCCTAGAGGAATGACTGTATATTATGCTCTCTCTTGCTTATCCTTTTCTATAAATTTTGCATCTATGGATAGTAGCTCCCCAAAGAAGGAGGAGTCTTCACTCCTAGTACCTCTTGCAAAGACTGCTATGTTTTTGTGCTGCCCAGACTTGCATTTAAATGTTAGCACATAAAATTCTAAGCATGCACCATTTCTCTAAGGGAATATTATCATTATTTGGCTAAAAAAAATCCACCCAATTCTTTTTAGTCTCTCCTTCTGACCTTATAAATATTGATTTTCTTGCTGTAACAGTAGTTCTTGCTGCACCAGATGCAGCCATTAGTAGTTACAGTACTATCCTAGGAACTTGAAGCCACAATTTCGTCTGTGGGGCTGAGCACTGTAATAATACTAGGAAAAAAAGTACTGTGCTTGTCATATATAGCCAATGTCTGCTTGCCAAACAGGACTCAGCATTGTGAATCCTGAGTGAACAGATGCTTACCAAGTTAGGTGCCTCTGCGTGCATACCATGTGCACAGTGCTTCCTTTTGAGAGGCACGAGTGTGGTTCAGACTCCCTCCCTTGTCCATAGAAGCAAAGACCTTCCAAGGTTGTATAAAGCAGGTGATCTGAGTATGATCTTTAACGTCCTCATAATTCTTGAGTTAACAAATTTTGGGAGTACTCTATAAAGTTGAAAACAACACACTTTTCTGTATTTCATCGGAAGTAGACATGGGTGCACAATTTTTTTTAGTAGTGTTATATCATGTACATGGTTTAAAATTGTGCCACTAAATGTATTGTTTAAAGACAAGTAAAACTAGCCTTATGTTTGACATAAGCTTCTAAAAAATATGTTTCATAAAATGTATTTGTCAGGTTATGTTCTCAGTGGATTTCCTTCTCTCTCGGAGGAATACATGACTGTTTCACAGCAAATAGAGAAAATAAAGAATCTAAAATTAAAACCGGATTTCCTGATTAACATTAAGGTAATGTCATCTTCATTAACTTGCTAATAATTTTCTTAATTATTAGTAGACTCATGTGCCGCGTATGCCAAAAGATCATATTTTCCTCTGTGCACTTGAGTATAGTATTTTTTGAGGAGCGATAAATTGTTCTCTTTTATATTGGAATGGAATTTCACTATTTTATTCCATTATAAGCATTGCTCAGGTAAAATAATGAACATTTCCTAAAACTTGAGCAGCAGTTACAGTCTTTGCACCTCTACCGATTAGAAGATAGAGGTTTTCAAGAAAAGGAAATTCTGAGTAACATGATTATTATGGGATTTTGGATAAATGTACGTCCACCATCCACATATTGCAGGAAAAAATTTCCCACATATGGAAGTTAGAAAGCAAATTGTTTTATTTTTCACTCACTAATTGTGAAACTACTTCTTATTCATTATTCATTCATCTTGTTTACAAATCTCAATTTGTAGTGGGACATACCAGATATTTTACAGAAGTGATTCTGATATAACCAAAGAACCATAAATTGTTGGAAGTGTAGGATTAAGAGGACTTTCTCATTTTAACCTAAAAGAATGGACTTGCTTTCTACTTCCATATTAGTAAAAAAACAAGGCAACAGGGACTCTTCAGACATCAGGCTGACTGCTTTGGCCAAACATCACTAACCTGTCTTATTAGTCAGAATGGGATAACCATGCCCAAACTGCCCACTGGGAAAGGCCCTAGGCCTGTGCCATTCTCCAGACTGTGCCCAGCTATTCACTGGGGAGGATACTAGCTGGCCCCTACCAAACTGCCAGATTCCATGCAGATAAAATAACAGTATGTATAGTCATGAACAAAGTTTCAGACCCTTCTTCTTGTAATGTTTTATTTATTATCAACTAGATTATTTCTCTCTTTTACTTTGAATGTGCAGAATGAGCTACTGAGGTAGCTCTGAATAGTCAGCCTCTGGTCTTGTGGTCCATTCTCATTGGGATTTTGATTCTGGTTGTCATATCTATGTGTTTTTTCAGATGCTAAGCTTCAGGGTATGGATCTATTCTATGACTTTGCAGATTTAACTGCATGTTTGTTTTAATCCTGTACTTTTAAAACTTAATTTGCTTGAATATGCATAGTAAAAAATTGTGAATGCCTACTTCAAACCTTTTTTCTGTGGTCGTGGAAAGATCTTAAAATATTAGAGAAACATATTTTTGTGCTGCTTTTCAGAAAGTCAGTCTTTGTTTTAATACCAAGTAGTGAGAAATCCCAGTTCTTGAGAATATGTGCTGTATAGTTTCATATGCAACAGTACAAATGGATATACTAACTACACTGGAAAGAAAAATGTAATTCTTGACTTCTTGTAGTAACATCATCATCTTCTCCTCTGAGAAAAAGACTGAGACGAAATGTGCATTAAAAATCCTTGTCCCAAAGTTGAATGAATAATTTTGCCTTTGATTTCAGTTTATTCAAGCTGCTTTCACAGATATGTCAGAAATGTAACTATTTTCATTAGATTAAAAGGAACAGAAGAATGGAGATTCTAGATAACTCTGGGAATAATAAAATACTGTTATTAGTAGACCAATTTAGAGAAATTTTGTCTCTCCGAGAAAAAGATGTTATAGCAGGACAATAAACACATGATTTCTTTTTACTTATTCCTTGCTAGTATCCAGACTCTGACTTATGCCAAAGAATATCAGGACAAAGGCAACACCCTGATTCAGGGCAGGTATATCAGAGGAGCCAGTGGGATCCTAAAGTTACTGAGAAGCATAAGAAAGAGAAAAATCAGCATGAAGAAGAGGATGAAGAAGAGGAGCAGGAAGAGGAAAAAGAAGAAAAAGGAGGGGAAAAAGAGGTAAATATTGCTAATTTCTAAACAATGCAAAGTATAATTTAGACAAAGCAGAACAAATTCTGATACTCTAAAATATCACTACACTACATTATGAATTAATTTTGCTCAACTTTTACCTTAATTCCATTTCTGTTCTGCTTTAAGAGATGTGAGATAATACTTAAATGGTAGGTTTCAATGACAGCAAGTGCTGATGATTGTGTAGCTTAACCTGGATTCAGTCTTTAACACAGAAGTCACTGAACTGTTCCTTGCCATAAGTTAAGAGAGTGCATCAGGAGGAAAAAGGTGACTCTCCATTGCCTGTTTTTGATCTAGGCAAATAAAAGAGTTCTTAAATTTTGTTTATTGTAACAAGTTTTACTGGTATTTGCAGGACACTAGCTCATTTTCTGGTTTTGGTATTACATTACTACAAATGAATTTTTTTTTTTCATGATGGTATTAATTTTGAATTCAGGTTGAATTTTTATAAGAGTGGCCAGAGACTTATCAATGCAAGTTCTAGGCACATTACTTTCCATTTGTGGTAACTATACATCATCAGGAAAGGATCATGGTCAGCAATCACTGGACTGATACTCATTGCCATACTCTGCAAAGCTACTTTATTTACCTTTGAGTGAAGACAAAAATTATTTCAATATATTATTTCTGTATCTTTAAATTTTGTTCTGCAGACTGCAGAAGATCTACATAAGAAAGCAGAATCTTTTCATCAATTAGTGCAGAGACCTGAAGATATTCTTGAAAATGCAGAGAAAAGAGTTGGAACATATAAGGATATAATGCTTCATCCTCTAGAAGTAAGAAAAAACAAAGTACTATGATTGTGCATAACAGAAGATTTCTAAAACTATCTTGCACTGTTTTAATTGGACTTTTTAGTTTGAGATTTGTTGTATGGAGGTGGTCATGCTACAGCATATCCCCAAATTCTGGAATGCATTCTGAAATCAATGATACAAAGTTGTCGTCTGTCAGTGAGGTTTGCACTCTGGGATCAAGATCAAGTTTGAGTTTTAAAAGTTGAGTTTTAAAAGGGAAACCATACCTACCACCACAGACGCTTTCTGAGTCTAGTAAGTGAAGAATTTGAAGACTCCAGTGTTTCATCACAGTTACCAGAGTCCATTCCAGAATGCAATCCCATAAGTAATCTGCCCTTTACATCCATTGCCTTCCACTCCAATAGATTCCCTTCCTCACCTGCTTCATTGTCTGCAGATCCATATACACAGTAATTATCCCATCAGTTTGCTTTGTTGCCTCTTTCATTTCTGCAGCTATGACACTGTTTTTTCCTTTCCCTGTTGTGTTCAGGAAGGTGGATGTACTATGTGTCTTTTTTTTTTTTTTTTTTCAATTAAAAAAAAAACAGAACAGGTCCAAAGCAATAATTTGTTCTTTTATTTTTTTTCCCCTATCTCCTGGTATAAGCAACTGCAAAATCCTCATGTTTGATGCCCACTTGACAATTACTGATTATGCCCTTCGATTTCCCTATGGATTATTTAATCCTATAGATAAAATTGTGTAAAACTGGTATAACCCTCATCGCTAGAGTAACAAACTTGTTACTGCTGTGAAGGGGAAAACAAAAGATGTGATATCTTTAATCATTACACAGTCTCACATGGATTTCTCTTGATCAAACTAATGGAAAGTTGTTTAGAATAAATTACCATAGGATGTATACGAAACTTCAACAGGTTCAACACATTCCACTAGTTGGTAGGTCTTACTTAGGCTTCGCTAGTGGTGAATGTATTACTGAAGATGTTTAGTGGTGCACTAATATGTTAAAAGAACACAGGGTTTTGTTATGTTGAGGTTGAGATGATAAACTGGAAATAAAAGCTTTTAGGATGCGCAGTTGGCGCTGAGCTGGGATAGGTTGAATGAACTTTGGAGAACACACTTTGATTGCTTGATGAATTGTTAGGATGCAATTGACTGGAAATAAATGTGAAATACTACAGTGAGGAAGGAAACCTAATGAACAATTAACGTGAAATAATTGGCTAGACCTCAGTACTGCAGACAATCTGCAATCTGTGGGGGTTTAGTTAGTCAAAACTGAGTTAATAAATTAGATGTTATTGTATTAATGCAAATATTATGGATTTATGAATAAGACCATAAGAACATTGTATATTAGAGAAATGCAAACTATTATCTTCTTTGTAGAAGAGTATTAGAAAGAAGTAATTAGTTATGATCTATTTTTACTAAAGATAGGATAGATAATTTAATTTATTGTATAGAAGACAGACTAGATGCCAGGAAATGAACTGTGACCATAAATGTAGTGAAGAACTGGAACAGATTATCTACGAAGTTGTCAAGTCAGCTTCACTAAGCTTTTTCAGGGCTGAGGTTAGACCAACATATGTCAGGAATGGACTGAGTATTCTCAGTCCTCAGACAGAGGCATTAACGATGGACGTGGGAGGTTTGTTTTAGTCTAATGCCTTACTTACTAATGGGAAAATTGAAAATAAGAAAAATAAAATATATTGTTCAAATTTTAAAGAAATTGGGAGTCAGGACCAAAATGAAAACATTGGTCTCATGGCTGGTATTTCCAGGAAATGTGTTATTCACATTGTCATCATTTTCCAGCAAAGAATTAAGGTAGTTAGACAATTAGAAGTTGAACTCATACACAAAATGTTACTGTATCTTGATATTTTTTAGCTCTTTTGCATTTGAGCTAAGACATCTGAGCTTTTTTGTGAACCCATTTTAACTCCAGTTTTGGAACTCTTTCTATATTTGTCTGTCACCAAATAAAAGTTTCTCTCCAGAAGATTTTTTAAGCCATCAGTACAATAAATCTTGATTTTGCTGAAGTCCACAGGAGTCCATCCGTAGATATGTATAGGCACAGAATTAACTTCATTAACTGTAATTATGTGGTTAACAATACTCAATTGATGAGTATGTCTTTGTTCTTAAACAGGAATTGATGGCTGAACAGAATTGTCAATATCTTATTGAAGTGGATGGAAATCAGCAACCATATGATCTCTTTGAGGTAAGTAAACTATGCACCAAGTTAACCTCCACTAGAAAATAATTTCTCAATTCTGTGGATTGTTTTCCTGTCAGCAGAATTTTAAGTTGTTTAAAATTTATTAATTTACTATTAGAAAACATGACCTTTGAAATACTTGCTTTCATTGCTCTATTATAAGATTCACTGCACTGCCTTCAGATTTATGTATATGTTACATGAGAATATTTTCAGGAAGGCTACAGACTCTTTTGTATTGTGTCCATCTGGTTTAGCTCTTTTTCGGACGTGTATTAGTGTAAAATATAATGAGAAATTAAAACATTTTCAGTACTATATATCTACAGAACTGGCCTATTTTGTGTTTGTGTCTAAAATAATAACAGAATTTTTATGAATTTTGATATTGTTTTGCAATGTAATAGAAGACACTTCATTCTTGTAACAGTTCTGCTGAGTGCTTGTGTCTATATTTTTAGCTTATAACATAGCAGCTCATTCTCCCTATTCAAAAACCTACAGTGGTAAGTCTTGAAAATAAATAATCTTATCCTCTGCCTCAGAACTAAGAGTTGCTTCAAATCAGAACCTTAAGTATGGGGTTGAAAATTAAGTAGGAGGTCGTCTTTGACAATGTAGAAAGTGAGCTGTTCCTGCATTTTCTCCTCTGTTGTTTGAAACAGATTGTATCAATTATAATTCTGTAAGTACTATTTCAATTTATGCTGAACTTCACTACCAAGACTGGTCCTATGGACAAAAAACCCCAGTAATCTTGCAGGGTTGGGACATAAAATTTCCTCATTTATGATCTCTTTGTGAACGTTGCAACACAAAATTTATAGCAAACGCAATCAAGTTATGTAATGATTCCAGCCATTTTACCTACAAATAAGGTAGAAACAGAAAGAAACAAACAAAGACCTATTATGCAACTATTCCAAACATGACAGAATTGGCTTTTTCATTCCAAGAACACTTGTATTCAGGAAATACTTCATTTAAACTTAATATCATCTGATTCGCATTGGTAGACATCTGTTTTAAATATCTTTTAAAATAAACTACCCAAAGTTGTATTACTTCTGAATGTGCATAATCTGATTTCCTAAAGAGACTTGCCTCTTTTTCAGATTGGAGCTCATCTGAGTAGTTCCACTGATTTGATCCTTCGCAGCCTATTCCTTTAGGAGGCTTGGGATTCACAGCATAATGAGGAGATATAAAGACTTGGCATTTTGCACTGCCTGTATCTACAGAATAGCTTGTTAAAACTATAGACTGGGCCTCAGTATATATGTAACCATTATATAAATAATAAGTTACAATTTTAAATATGGTTTGGGGGCCCTTTCAGAGGACAAAAGCAGTTTTGATTGGTACTGAGTTGGTATTTTCTCTTCAGTCAGTGGTAATTCAACTTCAGTCTATGGATGTTCGAAATGCAGCTCCTATAATTCGACTACAAAGTGAACAAGAAGAAGAAACGCTGGGGGAAAAGAAAAACGTAGGTGGGCTTTTCTGAACTGTGATTGACTGTAATAACTAGATTTTTTTTGATATAAGCTTATATTGTAACATCTTTGCTTCACAGGAGCTAGTTTGTTTTACCGTGCAATAAGGGCATTTTTTAAACCTTGATTTTTTTAGAAATGAGAATTTAAGATAAATCTGGGACTGAAATCCACTTTAAAAGTATGAAAATAAAAAGTCTGTCATTACAAAAAAAAAGTTGAGATGATTATAATAAAATTTTGAACAAAATTATTGTTTTAGCAATTAAGAATTAATTCCTTCCAAGAAAATAAAGAAACTTTAGCCAAAGGAAAACAATCTCAGCAACTGACACTTAGCTCAGTCTTTACTCTTTTCCTGAATGCAAAACAATGTGCTAATAGAAGTCCAGCAACATTCTGCCTAACTGAAATCATTCATTCTATTTCCTGTAATTAATTAGAAAAATGGCAAGTTAGTGCTGAATTTTGCTGAATCATGACAATTATACTTTGTGTCCCTTCCAAATAAAACTGAAAACCAGAAGTCTCTGTATGAATGTCTTCACCTGTATTTAGTTGCACTCATCTTTCCTGCTTCTTAACTAAACTTTGAATATATGAATCATACTCTAACTGGGAGACTCCACCACACATTTTCAGAGAAACATCCCTCCCTTCCTTTTCTGTTTTCTCCATTGCTGACAAATTCACAAGTGAAAGACAGGTCATCTGTATTTATTATTTAGTTGGTTTGTGTGTTTGTTTTAGTTTGTGTGTAAGCTTTTAGTAACCACAGTATTTGGGGCAAGGAGTTCTTCATCTTAGCTGGACATTATATACAGAATTGCTTCCTTCATGTTGCATCTGCAGCCTTTTAGCTCTGTGTCCTCCAGCTGTTGATATGCAGAAGTCAGTCCATACTTTTGTTCTCTACATCTGTCCTCTAATAACTCACTATTTCAGACTTCTGTCCTGCTTTTATGTAGCCATACTGAAGAGTTTCAGTCTACATAATCTTATCCATAGAAGTATGTATTTCAGGATCTATTCCTGAGTAGTCACAGTCAATGAAAATTCATAAATCCTAATTTTCTGTGTAAAACTGCTATTTTACTGCCTGACTTTGTAGATTCTGAAGGTTTTTCTGCAATTCTTCACAGCCAGCGCTTGTCTGTACTATTCTGAATAATTTAGAGTCACCATAACTTTAGGATTCACTCACTATTCACCTTCTATAAAAGGTCTATTAAACTTACTTTATCACATGATATTTCTGCAAATCTAAAATACGTATTTTGACCTTGCTATTCCCCGCCACAGACTTTGGTCCTTTTTTTCATCCCCTTTGGAAGAATTCTTGGCCATTTTCTGCCGTCTTCAATATGTGCCTCATTATAATTTTAAACTTCTGAAAATAATAAGTAAAGGCTACAGAAACTATTTTAAGTACTATTTTTGTTAAATAAACCTGAAAAAATGAAGAATTATATATTCTGAAATATATAATTTTTAAAAAAATATTCTAAAAGGCACGATGTGGTTTTCTTTTTAGGTTTGCATATTTTCCATCAAAATGTTTCAAAAAAATGTAAGAAAAAGGCATATGTAGCTTCAGACAAAAATTACATATGCTGTTATTGCTGTTTTAATAAACAGGATGAACTTTTCCGTGTTCTGTCATCTTACAATCTAATAGCACCCAGATACCGATGGCGTAGAAGCAGATGGGGACAAGCATGTCCTGTGGCTCTAAAGGAAGGTGACATTGTAATGGGAAACCCAGATTTTGCTGTCAGGTCAGCAGAATTTGATACTCAGTTTTCATTTCTATTTAATGAGATAACTGTCCATATCTGTTAGCTTCTCTTCTATTTGAAGTTTTCTAGGTAAAATGTACGTACTGTCATCCCCAGAGGCATTGAAAACATTTATGTTGAATCCACGGCCTTATCTCCTACCACCAATGCCACTTCCTCCTTGCAAAGTATTAGTATTTGGTCCTCCATTCTCTGGAAGAACAACTATTTGTAACCTACTTGCACACAAATATAAAGGAAAGGTAGGTTTATAAATGTCTTATGTAGCAAGGGTATCAGCTGAGGCTTGGGAATCAGTTAAGCACATTCCTATTCCTGTTGTGTTATTAACATACACATTACAAATATATGGATTACAGGGGAAATATCATTTTTCAGAGAAATTCATTTATATGAAAGTAGCTGCATTTCAAAAATACTTTTAGTATTAGAATAATTATTAATTAGCATTAGAATATTATTAATAACTTGTATCTAGGATAATTAAATATAAATGCAAATGAAAAATAACCCTGCACTGGAATTATATGTAAATTTTTATGGATCAGATGTTGTATTTCTTTTCTGTGATATTTGTATTTTTTCAAATAATTTCACTAGGTCCTTGATATGGCCAAACTCATTCAACCCCATATAGAAGAATCAAGAGAAAAAAACACTGAGCAAGTGCAAAGGGATGCAGTAGAAAAGGCTATAACAGCAGTGAAAAATAGGTTGGAATTAGAAGAACAGTCAGGAGAAACAGGTGAACAAAGTGTTCTATGGTCTTTGAAGCTATCTTATTTGATTTAGGTTATTTAACTGAAGCAGTTGCTGTCACTTTACTTAAAAAGTTACAGTTGTTATGGTTCGTGTGCATTAAATATGAACTAAAAGAACACGCAGTGAGGGGGATAGCTTAGTAGAATTCAGTATATATATACATATAAATCCTCTGAATTTGAGGACCATTAGTATTGAGAAAGAGTTTTCTGAGCTCTGAGCTAAAAGAAGAAATTGGTTCTGACTGATACTTTTTGAAAACTTTCCATTTGAATGACTTCCAGTTAAGTTAAATCTCTACAAAATTGAAATTCTCTTCAAGAAAGAAGCTTGTCAGCTAGGCTGATGTGAGTCCACAATCTACAGATTTTACACTCTGGAGCAGCTTCCAAGTATGCTGTCAGAGATGGTACATTCACAAGTCACTCCAGCTCCAGTCACATTTAGACTCCTTAAGCTGCCCAGGTTTTTGCAGATTGAATTCAAAAAATATTTTGAAAAGGTGAAATTGTTAAATTGTTAAATATCTTTAAAACAAAATTTGTGGGTTTTTTTCCCAGGAAATTTAATGGGGACTTTTCAAAATAGTTTTTTTTAAATGAAAATTCTCCACTGAATTAGAATTGCCTTTTCCACTTAGCTCTCGTTATGGTTCAAATGGACAACCAGGCCATTTTGCCTTATTCAAATAAGCAAGGAATCACTATGTTTGACTTTCTTATGGGTTGATACATATCTAACAAGGATTCAGTATATTCCTCTGGTGCTGCAAAACAGAGGCTGACAGTGATGAAAAACCATTGGCCTTGCAATAAGAATAATGATGAGCTATCACACCAAAATTAAAATCATTAACAGTGTCATGTTCCAGATTCTTGGCTATGTAAAGACTTTTCAGGACAGGTATGTGAAATGATATCAGGATTAAAGAGAATTTAATCCTAATTAATAACCTGGGAGAGCTCAGGCAATTTTATTGCAAAACAGAACTACAAACAGATGATGTGTTTTCACTTAAATATCTTTTTATAGCATAAGATTGTTTCAAAATTTTTTAATAGATAAGAATAGGTGCTAATTCACACACAAAAACTAAAGGAAGAGAGGATCTGGATTCAGAAGTAGGAGTATTTGCCACCTGAATATGAGAAACTTAAAAGTATGCTAAGTTTTAACTTGTTGAAATGCTTAAACAAATGAAATATGTTTGTAAACCTATTATGGTTTACAAATAATAGTAGTTTTTGCATACAGAGCAGACTTTTATTTCATCTCAAACAAGATAGGTTGTTAGGTAAATCCAATTAATGAACATTAATGAAATATATAGAGAGGGAGCTAAAATCAAAGTTAAATAAATGTGGATTGTGAGGTAGTTTTGCAAGTTTCTTTGACTTTTTAAAGAAAAACATTTGTTCTTTCAGTGGTATTCTTCCTTTAATTTATGACATCCTGTATCAGAAAAATATACCAAAGGGAGCACTAAAGAAAGATGCAGAACTGCAGAAGTAGAATATAATATCTTTAGCTATGATAACTGTAAAGTCTGCTCCGTTTGGGGTTTGGGCTGCACTGAGGTTTTTTGCAGAATGGAAATTAGTAAGTTATTGTCCCTTACCCAGGGACTTTGTAACTTGGCAAAAATAACCTGATAAATTGTGCATGTAAAAAGTAACAACATAATCATGGAAACATCTTGACATAATCACAGAAAGTAAATATGAGCTTTTTCCCAAATTATACTGTTAGTAGATAATGCAGTTGGCTAAAACAGTTCGTCATCAAATTTTATCAAATTAGTATGTTAACTGTAAAAAGAGTGTTCCTTAAATTTTTTTTTTAAATAATTACAGTTGTCGTGCCAGCCATTAATAACAAAATATGGGTCCAATATAAACGTTTTGTACATCCTAGGTAATGCAGGCTTCTTGATTGTTGAAAATACGCTGCCTTGATCTGTGATTTGTATTGATTTTAAAATTAATCTGGTCAACCTTTTGATTCAGAAATCAAAGAGAAATCAAATCCAGGGAAATTCTCAGGTGCTGCAAGTGCCCGACTGTGATTGTTCTAGTACATAAATGTCATTCTATTCATATTGAAAAAACATTTCACTTAGTGGTAAAAAATACTGAACAGCTAAAATGGTTGAGTTTTTTATCATGAGAGAGCAAACCAAGATCCTAGAACTTATCTTTATGAAACATTTCCTAGAACTGCATTCAGAAGAACTGGTGTTTGATTCTTTCTCATCATAATTGTGTAGTATTGCTTAAAATGACTACTGGGCTGTAGTTATGATTTAACCTTTTATTTGATTCCCATTAATTTGGGAAGTGCTTTAAAAAAATCTGTATTGTTAGGAATATCAGAGATAACTGCTGACCACCCAGAAGTTCAAGCGATGGTAGAAGAAGCTATGAAAAGTGCATCAGTCTCTGAAGCTACACTGTCACCTCAAATATATGCTGAAGTATTGGAGGGAGCTATTGCAGAGGTAAGACTACAAGTACTATATAGCAAAGCATTTTTTTCCTAAGAGCAACTTTTAACAGTTTATACACTATTGATATATGTTCCTAATTTTTCTGTTTGAAATATCAGTTTAGTTTATAACACAATGCCTGGAAGCCTTCATACGACTGAGGAGAAACTGAGCAGGATCATGAAAGACAAATCTATTGAGGACTAGTTTATATATGTGTATATACACACACAAACTGTTTCTGTCTTGCAAAGTACTTGGGCTACAAATTGTTAAAGCCTGGGAGAATTATCTGAGGGATCACTGTATGGTTGCCCTAGTCTTACATTCTTAGTCACTATTAAACAGCTCAACACCAGATACAAGGGTTTAAAAATAATTGTTTATGAAGGTTTATCCAAGAATCTTGAATTGTTTTAAATTTGTTCAATTGTTTGTAACTACTGAAATTGGAATCTAAGTTCTTTATAGCAAGCTTAAAAATCACTATCACACTTATCTCTTTTTGTTTAAAATGCTTTTAATTTTCATTCAGGAAATGTCTTATTTTTTATTGACCTGAAATGACAAAAAGGAAAAATCATAACATTTAGAAAATCATTTTGTGTTGTGCAGTCTTTTTTGTACAGCTGACAGACTTAGTCTTTTTATATCACTGAACCTGACGTTCTGTTACAGCTAATGAAGAAGAACAAAGACAGGTTTCCTGGCGCTCCAGAAAAAGGAGGATGGGTAGTGGATAACTACCCTCTGTCAGTAGATCACTGGTCAGCTTTATCAGAAAAGCAACTCCTACCTGACACTGTTATCTGTCTGAAGCATACAGAAAAAGATGGTTAGTAAATGCATACTAGTGCAATTTAATATTTTCTTTTTTTTTCCATGTTGATATCTGTATATAAAGCACACGAGAAAAACTACTAGTTATGTTCCATTTATAAAGCGTCAGGGATCTAGAGAAGAAATAATTCAGTGAATCAACAAGAGTACCCTAAATTCTTACAATTTGGATTAAGGGAATTACACAGAATTGAAAACCAGAACGCTTTGCAAAAGCAGTAAAGAAAATTCCTCCTATTTATAATCAATTTTCAATTTTCTCCTATTTGCAATCATTAGTAAATACCAGGGGACTCTTGTACTTTCAGATTTTTGCATTCTGTGTCTGGCTGGCCACCAGCTTGCGATGTGGCTCTCTGTCAAATTCCCCTGTGCATTAGTTTCCCTATTTGAAAAATCATGTATGAAATTTCTGTACTTGAGAGAAAAGGGGGAGAGAAACACCTGTATGTAGATGTATCCTGTTCTCCATCCTGAGATCAAAAAAAAAAAAATAACTTCTTACCCAGATTGATACAATAGCTTAGTATCCATGAATTCAGAGGAAGGGATTTTTACTTCATTGTTTCAAGCAGGAAGGAAGGTTGGTATCAGGCATGAATAACTGAACAGATTCATATACTGTTAGAAATTTTGCCTGCCAAATCAGGTCTTAATGGGTTATGGCTGCCTAATTCATACTACAGCACAAGTTTAATTGACCTTTGGGAATGTTTGGTCATTGCCTGTCCAACCCAGTCCATTATCAAAAGGTCTTTCAGTGGCAGAAACTTCCATTCAAGAAAGGCGTGATGGATCTATTCATATGTAGTTCAAGAAAGCTCGGTAACTGCCCAACATTGGAATCAATGCAGAGAGCTTTTCAAAACCTTGTTCCTGGATATAAAAATCAACCTGAGCACATGAAGGTTATACTGTTTACTCAGAACAGATTTCTTATTAAAAAAAAAGGTTTTCAGAAGCATGTCATCTGATCAGCTAATCATTCTCACAACTCAGGTACCATACCTAAAACTACTTAGTCATGTAGCTTTGTGAGATTTCTTAACACCTTAAACATCTTAACTAAAAGTCTTTCAATGTGGTTGGAGCTCATATACAGACTAAATACAGAGTGAATATTTCTATGAGAAAGTTCTAGATTCGGTGTTTGTCAGAAAATTGTATTTGCTATATCTATCATTCAAGACCTCATCTCAGATACTTTCAGAGTGAACTTAAGGGCAAATTACATTTTGATGCCTCATCTCTGCTTCCCAGACATTCCAGGCTGCAGAAGAATACCAAGACTAAATTATCTAAAGGTGGCTTTATGAACTATATTCTTTTAAATTCCTTTCAGTTATCCTCTGTTTTTCAAAAATACATTTAATTGAAAGTATTGGTTTAAAATATAAACCCTTCACACAGAAATGTCATCGCTTCAAATCAACACCAATGTTTCTAACAGTTAAGTGACATCTTTCTCACAGATAAAATTTAGATAAAAACACATTTTATGTTAGTTGCTTATGTAAGATATGGAAGGAACAAGTATGAGTACAGTGAGATAAAAGAGATGATGTCTGCTGTAGCCTTTGGCTAAAAGTGTAGCTTTTTGCTTATGGATACACTTACTTGAATTTAGCTATTTTGTTTCATTTTGTTCAGTTTATTCTTTATTTTTATTTGGGCAATTGTGTTAGCACTTTGTTTGATTCCCACTAATTTCTGTCATTTAAATAACCATGTAGTTGTGGATTTTACATTTTCACAGTATTTGAGTCATTACTTTGTAAGGTATTCCCTGAACTACTCTAAACTGTCTTAAGTGCACTGATGAAAATGAATTTTAGCCACACAGCCATATATCATAAATCTATTTGCTAAGGTAACTGAGTATAGTTCCTAGTAGGAACAGCATATTCTTCATTTCTGTCAACCAGCTGTAGTAGTAGAGGTATGTACATTATTTGTATTTTATTTGAATATTTTTCATTTATTTCTTCATAGTTTTCTTCATACACATGCAAACAAAATAAATGTTGGAGTAACGTGTGATATATATAACGTGTGATAAATAAAGCCTTTCAGTTCTGTCTCCCCTTACAGCCTTCATCATAACCTTCCAGTATCCCAGACTCAGTTTACTAGGTGCTTGAAATTGAAAACAAAGCTCTAAAACCATAGAAATCAACAGTATAACAACATTTCAGCAGTATATATGCCTTTTGTTGACTTTAAAAAGAAGTAAGATAGATGTCTATAATTTATTAAATAATATTCCTAACTCAATAACTTTTGTTTTATTCAGATGCCTAAAACTCATTACTGTTACGTAATTGTACTGCAGAAGTCTGTATACTGTGTAGACCATACTTAGCAAATAGGAAAGAAAATAATTTTGTTATTATTTAGCTTTTATTTTACCTATATATAACAAGGCCTAAGTCATAAAGGTACTATAAGATAGACTGAATATGATAACATGCTTTTAATTTTTAATGATGTAACATTTCACCTACTCTCTGAAAGAAATACTCTAGCCTTGTAGGGTTCTTTAAATTACATAGAAACTTTTTAAAAAGTCCACATTGTAATTTTTTATAGTTTCTAATAAAACACACAGCTCTTCTCCAAAATGAATGAGTTCTATAGTATTGCCTATAAAGGCTCTATCATCAGTGTCTGAAACAACAAAGTGCATCTTAGTTTTGAATATCTAACTAATTTTGATCTGAGTACATCAAAATAACATTTATTAATGATAGAAGTAATAACGTGATGTACACACTTGTGCTCTTAACATGTGCTAAGTCCTTGTTCAGAGTAAATCGTATTTTCCTATGCCTACATTTTATTTCAATAATCAAACTGACTCACCAAAACACTTCAGTCACGCTGCTCTTTACCTGACATCTGTTTTATTTCTCATGTAGTGCCATCAGCACATTGCTGCAGCTTTTCTCCCATGTGATGTCTTTACACCAATATAAATGAATGATATGTTCGCAGTTTTGGTTGTTTGGTTTGGAGTTTTTTTATATGTAACAGTTATGATATAAAAATGATTAATCAGAAAAATAGTCCAGAGTCCAAATCATACACTTTTGGTCTCTCATATATGAGATCATCTGGGAATGGCTCAAAGCTGCACCAGGAGAGGTTTAGACTGGACTTTAGGAAGCCTTTCTTTAACAAGAAGGTGGTCAAACACCTGTGTCAAACACTGTGACAGGCTTCTTACAGAGATGGTTGATGCCCCAAGCCTGTCAGCATTTCAGGAGCATTTAGACAATTCCATTAATAACATGATTTAACTTTTGGTCAGCCCTGAATTGCTCAGGCAGTTGATGAGAAGTAGATGATCATGGTAGGTCCCTTCCACCTGAAATAGTTTTATTCTATATAAATAGATTCACATTTTAATAATCATGATACTTGTAACCTCAGTGGGACCTGGGATTGCCTGAGGACTGAACATATTCAAATTTATAATATTGTTTGTGTTTAAAAGGAAAAAGTGGTTCCAGTAATGTCTTAATGAGAGTGAAAGTATATGGAGAAGGAGACTTCATGTAAATGTAACAAATGTATTTAAATGAGTTAAGAAGCTAAGTTCAATGCTGAAGTGTCTATTGAGGGTACACAAATCAATTTATGAGGTAACTCTTGCTTGTAATGTCTAGCTGAAAATTAAAGCCTCACATCTTTTTTTCATGTTCCTTGACACAATTTTTCTGAGCCTAAATTATTTTCAGGAATTTGTTACTGTAGTTAAGCATTTTTTCAGAAGCTTCACATGGATATGTATTTATTTATACTAGGAGACAGTTATATCACTTCATGAGAATCTATTTCAGGCATTGTAAAAGAGTTACCAGCTTCAAGTAGATCTGTGGGTTCATTCCAATCTTCCTGAAGTAAAATTTGCCGTATTCCTTTCCTGCCACATTTCTGCCAGAGATTACTCCCTTTCTGTAAGAAACTCCACTGGAGCACACATCCCTACGCCTCAGTAGCTCAGGGTGGTGTGTTAGTACAACCCCATCTTCACTGATGTCTCTTCTGCTGCTCTTGTTATTTGGGCAGAAGTTCTTGCCAAAAATAAATGGGTAGCTGGGGCTGATAATTCCAGCCATCATCTCTTACGCTTGTCTTTCACAGCTGTTAACATCAATTAGTTATAAGCTCTTTAATAATGGTTCCAATCCCCCCTTTCCTATATTACAGATGGTGGAGGGTTGAATTAATATGCATCTCTTTGGCTTTTATTTTATGTTCTTGCTTTTTTATTCATATTATCATGTTAAAATCAGTAAGATATTTGAAACAACAAGAGAAAAAAAATAATTAAACCTGTCATTTTAGGACATTTCCTCTTTAGTCTTTGAAGAGAAATGCTTTTTGGAATCAATTGTAATTATAAAATTTATGCTTTTCAGAATCAATTATAATTATAACATTTACCAGGCAGATGATGTGTACTTAGTCCTACAGCCTCTAAATATATTTCCTTTGTTTTCCTTGGATGGCTTTCAACCTCATTTGTGTTTTTTTTTTCCCTCAAACTGGAGGCTTTTCAATGAGAGAGTTTGGACAAGGACAGTTAATTAAACTGCAGACAAGACATAGCAAATTGCTTGTTCTCTAAACTTCAAAGCAAGCTCTAGCGATACTAACTTCACAGTTTGTTCAGTCTTTGAGGAAAACTGCATGATCTTCAAAGCCAGTTTCTGCCCTCCTTCATAAGCCAGATGTGATAATTACATTTTAATACCTGTAATCACAGCATTCTAGGCAGAAAAAAACCAAAATTTGAAACAGAAAAGTTAAGAACAACTTTCTCAATTAAATCCCAAATACCTTCAGTTCTTAAATTCTTTTAGTCTCTCATTCAGAGGAATAAAGGCTAAGGCATATTGATGTAGTACAACTATGCACTTCTTTGCAGAAAAAAAAGAACAAAAACCTATAATTAGAGCTATCAGTCTCTCTGAAAGCTCTTGTCACTTT